GTAGGAAGAAAATTGTGGAAGAAGAAGAAGATGAAGAAGAAGAATATGATTTTCAACTCAATGCCGATTTGTTTCAAACTCCAACCCCCCAAAATGAAGCCGAAGCCAACCAAGGAGGTGAACCTACAAGTTTGGACGTGGATGTTACACCGCCATTGAAGCAAACTACTCTACCTTTGGCTTTAGGAAGGCCGCGTAGATAGATAAAGAAAGTCGACCGCTACACGCCAACCACGGCCCAAGCCAAGCCACTCTTAGAGGAGGAATAATTCCTTTATTTTGATGTTTACTTCTATTGATGAATGTTGGAACTTTTGTTGATGTAGTTTTTTATTAAAATTTGTTACAATTATAATATTTTGTTCAATTGATGTGTGAGTTTAGGGTTTATATTGATGCTGCTGTCTTGGTGTTGTTTGCCTTCTGCTTTATATTCTGTTTGTCATTTTAACAAGATTGGCAAAGCAGGCCAGTTCTTTTTTTTTTTTTTATGTCTACTGTCTTTAAAACGGAAATTCGACATCCGTTTTTATTTTTCTATTACTTTTAACCAAAAACGGAATTTGAGTTTCCATTTTATATTTCCGAAAAATAATTACTTCACAATTTTTTTTCCCATTTCCTTAAATCAAAATTTACTAAAACAAAAACGGAAATGTTTAATCCGTTTTTATTAATCAAAGTAATTATCAAATCCTAATCCTAAAGAAACGGAATTCGCAAATCCATTTTATGAACTGTTCATAGGTGTGAGGACCCCAGTTCGATGCCACTCAGTTGGGACAAGCCTTGCCTAAGTCATTTAGGGAAATTTTATAAATTGAATGGTTAGAAGGAATTTAAAACTGAATGTGAATAAATAGTACATTAATCAGGAAAATGATTTTCGAGTGATGTATACTATAGTAAAGTTCACTTTAATGTGTATCTTATAGGTAAATAAATTAAATATATGATCAAAAATTAAAACTGAGAAAATGAGCAATAAACTTAAAAAGGGAAAATCTTTATAGCTAAATGCCCACACTAGTCATTAATGGAACCCAATCAACTTATTTATTATTTTCTCATTTTCATTTTTGATTCAAAACTCCCCCTGCCTAACCCATATTCCGCGAACAAAACAGCCCCATTTGCTCCACTTCTTCCACCGATTGACCTGAACCTCTTTCACTTGTTCCCATCATTTTGAACACCATATTAGCGGAATAAAACTAGAAAGACCAGCATCTTACTTCCTTATTTAATCCACAAGACACCAGTTCAATTGGGTTTTCTATGCCCTCCACTCTTGACTCCGCTTCGAGCTAACCGAAGTTGATCCTTCATCGATGTTCTTCACGGCAAGTAATCAACCGATAAATTAAAGTAGCCTGGTCGGGTGAAGTCCGGAGAGGTGAAGGCCTAGGGATTAAAAAGAAAGGAGATTAACTTCGAGGAGCTTTCGATGCCGCCGAGACCCGCAGGGCAATTGAAACGGAATCTGAACCAGTGAAGACAGGAGTTTGAGGGATCGGAGCTTGGCCAAAATACTCGATTGATTTTTAACGTCTACCAATCGTAAGTCACTTTCCTTAACCACAAATTTAGCTCCTGAATAGTGAAATAGCTAGGCTTTACGGCTTACGAGCTTTGCTAGTAATTAAAGGGGTATAAGGTTGTGTTGCTCTAGTTGGGATCTTTTGCAATCATTCAATCGATTAATTTACTGGTTAGCAAAAAGTAAATGTTTTATGAAGATTATTATGAATGCTTCAAGTGTTGACATAGTGGTTATTATTTAACGTTCTCCTTTAATTTCTTGAATGAAACCGGGAAGTAGGAGGAGGCTGATGGTGATGATGTCTCTGTCTTGTTGTTGTTTGATGTTCCTTTGGGCGCAGGTTTAGGGAGGAAAAGAGAGGGAGCAGTAGGAAAGCAAACTTTATGATTTTGGAAGTTGGACAAACGAAAAATGTACCCTGCAGGCTCAATTTAGGTACCACGAACTTGAGTAAAGGTTTTAGGAGATTGGAATGAAATCTAGCATTGCCTACTAATCTTCAAGTGACTTAGAAAACAATTGTTACATAGTTGCTAGTAAATAAAAGAAAAGAGAGAAAGAAGAAAAGCCATATAGTAACTGAAACAAAAGTGTTCTATTTTAATCAATGTTAAAAGTGATCTTCAAGTTTTTGTTAAGACGTTATGCGAGACATGGAACCCTTATGATATTGTTAAATTGTCCTACAGACAAAGCGGACGAGGACAACAGGCTGCCTTACAATATCTGTGAGTAATCTCAATGTATATATATAATCGCATGTAAATGGATTAGGATAATTGCATGAAACCATGATGCATGTCTACTATTTATTCTGTTGATCTTGATTGGAAATGTTGCATTTCATGTTTGTCCCATGTGTGTACTTTATCGCACTGGGTAATTGAATAACTTGAATATATACTGTTGATCTCTAACTTGACGTATGATTTGCTTAATTGCCATTATGCTTGATTTTGTTTGCTTGTGGCCATGTGTACTCTATCGCATGTGCCATATAATGTAAACTGAATGCCTTTCGATTCTTGCTTGTAATGTGTGCATGCTATCAATGGTTAGTCATGGATCTATGCACCCTTCTAGTTCAAGGTAAATCCATACGTGTCGGCATAGGGCCAGGACGTATTGGGTATTACTACTAGGAGGTTGGTTATCTCGAGATATACCCTCAATGAATGAAAGAATGTTGGGGCGTTGGTTGTCGATGCGCACTCTCTAATTACTGACCTTGTGACAAATTGTGAGACCAGCTAGTAGTTGTTTCTGTAAGACCCAATTCTTCCTAAATGGGCATGACCAACTTTATCTACTCATCTGTATCCACGTCTGAAAGTGATATTTAAATGCCTATGTGCTAAGTGCTGTCTTGTTTCTAGCTTGAAGTAGCGAGTTATGCCTGATATGGTTATGCTTCCCTTCGGACCTCATGGAGCATACGCTCACCAAACGTATATCTTTATACATTCCAGGAATGAGAACACGTTGGTTGGTGCACTGTTTTTTGTGACAGGCAGGTTAATATATATCTCTAGAAAATTGAGATTTAGTTGAAAAATTGTATTATAGACCATTGCTTATTTAAAAATGTAGAGACATGTATTCGAGAACGTTGGAACAAGACATGTACACTTTTCCATATCAATTACCAAATTTTAACTTATGGCATGATAATGTCTTAAGTTTTTGCTCTTGAGTACTTGTTTGAAACTATTACTGAGACCTGACGAGAGTCGGGCAGACGTTCAATCATGACTTCCTTGCTAGAATACAGAGAGGGCCAGATTGGGGCGTTACAATAGGAAAACGGAAATTCCCTTTCTTGCACTTGTTTTTTGTGATCACTCCCAAATTTGTGCTTATATCAGTCCACTACTTCTTTCCTGGACATATTTAGGTAAATGACACGTACATTGTACGACATCAAGGTGTGGATTCTCTCCGGCGAAGGTCCCCAACCATACAAATACACTATATCTGGATCAAATGGATGGAACGATTCAAATTTCGCATCGCTGATTTTGATTCGGCCGTAGCTCACATGATAAAAAACACAAGGAAATACACTATCTTTGGTGAATGTGACAGCTTGTTGAAGGAACCATTTGTTGTGCTCTTGTAACTCCCATATTCTTATGCCTTGGGATCTATTAAGAAAAGATGATCCTATGAATTCAAAGCATTTTAGGCGTCCTTGGGAAACTCCACAACTGCAAGTCTCTGTACACAAATCCCTTGCACTAGTAGGAAGCTCAATAACGCACAACTTTCGAGTGTCGGTGTAAGGATCATAGGCTAAGATTCCTCCTCGTTCACTCTCATCCATCAAGAAAAGAGTAGTGTTCAAAAACGCAGGTCTCTTGGCCATTGAGACCCGAACAGGACGATTACAGGGCGCGGCGCGCTCAGATTCACCCATCCCTCCTTAGTTCCAGAAGAAAACATCAGGAGATTTAAGGATTGATTGGGCTGGCATGACCGTTGGTAAAACAAGTACGACTTTGCAATCGGTCAATTCTCCGCCTTCCATTAACCGTGCGACCAAACCAAAGTTCACGTTGGCGATTTTGCAGGGTGGGAGTGGAAGCGGAAACCACTGTTTAGTTATAACATTACAAATAAGAAACTCAACGCAGTGTTGAATAGTCAGCTCAAAAGATGGCGGGATTTTATTCCGTGGAAATCCCACCACCACCGGCTCCTCCACGGCTAACAAAAGAAACCCTTTCTCTACTGCTTTGATATGGACTGTTCTCTTCTCCGCGGCTGATCCGATCAATGAAACACCTGGTAAAGAACCTCATGAAAATCCTCATCCACTTGTTCTTCTTCTTCTTCTTCCATCCTGATGATGATCCAGTTGCACTGCTGGTAAAAGAAATACCATAGGAAGAACTCACTCATTTTCTCAGTCGGGTAGAATTGCATGGTTATTACGATAAACAATTGCATATACACTTACTCATTTACTGTCCACGACTGAGAAAGTTTTTGTTCCCCTGTTATTATCAAGTTTCATATGGAAGAACTCACTACACAGCAGAATCAGCCTTTTCTCCCTCAATAATAATGTGGCGTTGAACACACTCAATGGAAACTGGAGAAGAACAACAGAGCATGATCACTCCAAATCTGAACACTAATATGGATCGTCAACAAGAGTGGGTGATATCTGTCGAGAAATATAAAGAAACACCATTTCCTGACCCCTTACTTTCATTAACCAACGGGGCCAACAAGCCGTCAAAGAAACTTTGCATAGTACCAGCCAAAAAGAGGGGGAAAAAACCCTCTCCGATTTCCATAGAAGAACTCCAATTGCCTAACAGTTTTCGGCCTGATTAATTGCTCCATCAAACCAAAGAGAAGCTTTAGAGTTTAGATAATACATGTCCTAGTATTTGTAACAACTCATTTAGTAACAACAAATAGGCTATGCCATCAACTGTGCCAACCACATCAACAGACTCCCTTAAGAAGGAAGGATGAGTGACAGAGGTGCTTGTGGCGGCAAGAGTACAAATAACTTAAAAAGAAAATAGGAAGGCAAACAAAGAAAGAATCCTTAGCAACTGGTGCCATACCTCTGGTACGCACAGAAGACATTAAATGAATATATTTCAACAAAGTACATACATGATACACATCATTGAGTAGATTACCATAGGTTTACCTGTGCTTGAGGGCAGAAAGCAGGAGACATATATGTTGCAGGGATGTATAATGTACAAAGCTAGTGGCTCCGCTCGTCTGAAGCCAAAGATGCTACATGCAATGTTAAAAAATCGACACACACTATTTTAGCCGGACTAAAGAACACTCGGACTAATTTCCTTTCGTTGCCTACAGACAAAGCTACATCCTTCTAATGATTCTAAGCTAACAGTATAGTGATTACTTTGAGATGACTCCTAAGGCCGACGCAAGAATCGAGCTTTCACATCCTTGGAAATGCAGCTGGCTTTCTTGCCTTCAGATTTTCTCCGAGAATCTGAGCAACTGAAGTTTACTTCCTCCTCATCATCAGTGTCGACTTGCTTTGATAACCTTGTTTGTTGGCTCATGCGTCGAAGGATATACACATTGAAGTAATAACTCATTATTGCTTTTTGGCATTTGTTGGGAAAACACTTTAAAGCATGTTTCAAAAAATCCTTGCCATCAGATACTCGATTGTTGCTTGCGAGTAAATTATACTTATCTTGTTCATTTGGCGTCCAAGACCTTGCAATTTGTTCCCCTGTTTCATCAAGTTTCATACGAAAGAAAGCACTACCAAGGTCACACAGCAGAACCAGCCTTTTCTCAATAATGTGGCGTTGAACACACTCAATAGATGCTGGAGAAGAACAGGAGCATGATTCTGATCTCCCTTCTCCAATAACTCTGGTCGCACTTCCCTTACCTCCTCCTTTAATGGGCCAAATTTGAGTACCTAACCACTTGGAGTTTCCAGAATCATTCTGAGGGCCTGTCCATTCAGGAACATCAGCTTGGAAACGAGGCCCTACAGGGATGACCATTCTTTGAGGATCATCATCAATAAGGTTTAATGAACGAATTGACTGACGATGTGGCGAAAATTGTTTCTTGATGGGCGAATCCTTCGCTAGAGATCTGGAGGAGTGAACTGGGATACTAGAACCATGTACACTAAGTGAAGGCACCTCCTCCAGTGAGGTCACATCTTCTGGACTGTTGTTGTTCAAACAGTTAACAGACTCGTCAGAATCTAACAAGGTAATAACATCTTTGCAAGAAGACTTCAGGTTAATAGCTTCATCCACAGAACGAGACTCAATATTATCTTCAAGTATCATATGATTGTTTGAACTATGTGAGTCCCAAATGATTTTTCTCCCAAAACTTTCAACAGATTCTCCTGAGTTCAACAAGCACGAAGTAGAAGAAGAATGTGAGGCCCCTCGGCTCAGTTTTGATCCACTTTGTTGGTTAGATAACCAAGATCCAGGACTAGGAAGGTCTTTTAACAACTGCTGCAGTTTTCTCTTTCTCTGTAAAAGAATCAAGGAAAAGACAAACATTGACCTTAACAGCAAATAAAGGAAAAGACAATCTGATCTTCATATCACAAAGAAAACAATTGCCTCTACCGCCCCATGTGCTGTGATGTCTCTTATAAAGATCACACATCATCGTCACGACATCATCATCATCATCATGCAATATTAATGCACATGTTCTAATTTAAGTTTAAATAAACCAAATTGTCTAAAACAACTTTTCTTTTGAGAATCCTTTCCATCGTCTCTCCCTTTTAATTTTAGATTAAAAATTATCCTGATCAACAGAAATACATGTCAACATTCCATTCTACTTCTTTCATTTTTGTTCACCCAACATTTTTTCATTTTTCCATTTTTTCCAAAGGAGTGGCCACTCCACCACAGAAGAACCAAACTTTTGCCTGTGACAACACACGTTAAATTCCCAATCCCTTTTTTATGGTACAAACTAATACAGTGTCATAACAATAGATACAAAAGGAAACAAGCTATAGAGAAATCATCACTGAAAACAAGAAGAGTGACAAAGACATACCCGAGGAAAATTTGCATTTGTCAGAACCATAGCCTTCCGCACCCGGATAGTTTGCTTCAACAATGGCAAAATTTTGTTCTCTGAGAATTCTGATTTTCCAGGATCAAGGGCTAGTGTTTTCAACTGAGCTACCATCTCTGCATCTGAATATTTCCCAAAGACAGGTGTCGGACAAAATTTCCACAAAGAATCTTCATTATATCCTTCCCCTCTGGTGCTTTCCTGTAATCCAGTCATCCTGGTCTCTTTAACTCAGTTTCTTTCCCTTGCTCAAGACTCAGAGACCTGAAACTCTAAAATCAAAATGCAGCTCATAAATTTGCTGTTCCCAGTTCCCGAATATTTACCTTTAAAGATTCATTTTTTGAATGCAGGTGACCACATTATTGACTTTAATCAGTTATTCAGTCAGTCGGCAGCAATATTTATGCCCCAAAATCAGATTAAAAAAGGGAAAACAATGAGATGATAAACCAGGTAACCCCAACTGTGCACATCAATATATTTACCCAAAAAATAAAAAATCAAAACAGATAAATCAAAGCAAAGCAAACGAATAAAAGCTTGAAATTATACAACTGAAACCCAACCACTAACCCTAGATTCAGAATACATTGGTCCCCCATCTGATTTTAATCATTTCAGATGACAAATTAAGGGGTTCAAGTTTAGGCGCACCTGCGTCAGGCTTGGGACAATTTTAAATCTTAGGAAACAACACGTTGTCCCTATAATAAACAGTCTATTAAACAGATAACCAGTTGTTTCGAAAAGTTTAAAGTTGTGGCAAGCTTGACTTAGGTGCCCCTGTTTCACCAGGTAGAAAAACATCAGAACTAAGAGAAACCCATATAATCAAGCATCAGTATGTACATTTGCACCAATATAAAGTTCTAATTCACCAGCAGATTTCTCAATAATGCAAAATAAAGATGATTCTAACTTTGATCTTAGTTAGACAAAAACAGGCGCCCATTCCTCGGAAAACAAAACCAAAAGAATCAAGAATAAGAAGAAGCTCGAAGTTCCTCTGTACCTAACCTAAAACCCTAGTTAATTTACATAACTTTTTTAGAAATTATGCAATAACATTATTATGCTCACGAACAAAAACATCTCATCAAGATGAGATAGAATCAAAACCAGGATTATGGTGAACGATTCAAAGAAATAACTAATCCTGCTTTTCGGAATTAGATATATGCCCGCAAAAAAATAAAATAAAATGAACTAAAGCAAATATTATCCAGGGAAAAAAGATATCAATCCCATCAAATTAGGAAAATAATATTTACCTTAGAAGTACTACCCACCGTCGCGGCTGACGGCGGCGACGGCGACGGCGACGTAAGCGGTGAAGGTCCCCGCTAGCAGTGAGGTGGGCCGCCTAGTTTGATGAGGATAGGGTTCGCAGATTTTGAATTGCGTTGAAGTTAGGGACTAAAGTGTAATTTTCTGATTTTGCTCCCCCTAAAAGTTTTAGAGCACTAGAGCAATCTAGAGATTTGTTAAATTTAGTTGTTCCTTCCACCATTGAATGTTTATGTGCCTCCAATTCAATTGGGATTAGTCAATATTGTTGACAGTTAACATATCGTATAAAGATACCCAACAAAAGCTGCTTCGATATTATCGCGAAAGTTGGGTCATAGTTTCGTTAGAATATTAGATACCAGTCTCGATAACGATATACAGTTACGAAACTTGTTTCGAAATTTAAATTTACATAAAAACTGGATCAGATACGACTGATGGCGACTCTAAGGTCCAAGGTCAACTCTCTCATGAGACTTATTATATGTGAATTAACTTTCATATCTTTTGAAGGCCCATATAAGCTTAGTTCTGGTTCGATCTCAAAACTAGTTGGCGATAAAAGAAATAGTACATGAAACTTATATACCATTTCTAATATGGGACAATGTTTCAATTGTTTTCAAGTTGAAAGGAGATTTTAACATCCTCCTCTCAAGCCCGAAAGGTTTAGACAAGGCCCTATTGAACCATTTAAACTCGAATAAATTGTTGAGTTAGTCAAAACCCAACCATCTAAACTGCTAATACACTGTCGGATCAGTCAAAACCTGATACAAGTACATCAAACTCTTCGGATTCAATTTGGGGTCAGTCAAAATCCAATACGGGTAAATTAAAAGGCCCAATACGGATAAGTCAAATCAGATAAACTACCGGATTGGTCAAGATCTACCCACAAGTTCATGGGATCATAACTCACTCTAGTACTATCTTGAAGGACCAACATCAAAACCAATTAGCAATTTAGAGAGTAACACACTAGACTTATATGTTAACTAATATGGGTTATCATTTTTGATATGTGAGAAACGTCTTTCACTTGTTTTCAAGTTCAAAATGAGTTTTAACAATGGCTAATTGATATGAATATTCGACTCTCAATAGATTACGGCACTACGAAAAAGAGTAGCACACTAATTGATGTGAATTTTTTGACTCTCAACGGAAAGTCTTTATACGAAGTTGAATTTAGTTTTAAATATTAGTAACAATATTTGTTTCTTGTTTCAACAATAACTCTTCCTATATTACAAAAATCACATCATAAACATAATATTTTAATCCAAAAATGAATAGAATAGTTAAATATGAAAATATGGGATAAGATATTGAAAATTGTTTTGGGAGCAAAAACTAACTAGAATGAGTCCATCAGATTTTCACCTTAAATTTTCAAAAGTAATAAGAACATTGCTACTAATACTTTTGTCGACTTAGATTAGATCTACTAATATGCTTACAATTACCCTATTTCTCAATTTCAACCATGAACCATCAATTATCTTTCATGACATAACAAAAATATTAATGAACCATCATGTAACCATAATAAATGCAATGATCTTTAACTGTCTTCTCGCAGCTACATACCAAAAGTATAAATATACGAACAGAAATCTTGTTGAACATTTCACAGGATATCTTAAATTTCTTACAAGATGGATGATCTTATATTATGTTCGTAGTCAATGTGACCATGAAAATGTGACAATTTGGCCAACAGCATAGCAACGACTATAACCATGATGAAGCCAATTACAAAAATTCTGTTGATTAGCCAACTATAGATTAATTATTTCTAACCAAAACTAATGTATGTTGATGGATTGATTAACATGTAACACCCCAGGGTTTCACCAACCTTTTTATGTCAAAATATTTTTTTTCTTAGCCCAAAATGAAGCCAAGTCAGCCTAGTAACACCGAACTGTCCGTCAGGCTCACACCTAAAGCACACTAACACTTAATTGCGCAACAGTAGATTAGATAAACTAAACTTTTTTTAAAAGGATGATAATACCTCAATTTCATTTAGTACATTATCTTATTCTGTACAACCTTACCTCCACGCAATATTAGAGAATAAGCTCTTAACAACAACATTATTCAATCTACTTGGTGTTCTAAACTCAAGTAGAAGTATAGGTTATCTCAAATTTTACGCAAGTCTCCTAAGAACAATATTCCTTCGATAGCAACATGTCCCTTAATATATTCATGGGAAGTGAATGAGGAAATATATACATATATATATATGGGGTGAGCGCCGAACTCAATGAGATTCTCACTATACTACTACGATAGTTTATTAAAATAGTTTTAATAAAAATAATACAATTAATTACACATAAAGTACCATAAAGTTGCTCACTATATTCGTTCGGTACCAAAAGTTTAAAATGTTACTATATAGAACCAGAAATATAAGTAGTGTTACCATTTAGTTTTCCGTCAGGTTTCGGCAAAACACTAACAGTCAACAATTTTGTCACGTGAGTTGACCGAAGGGTATTTGTGTCCATGCGAGAAATTGTTACAATTAACTACACAAAAAAGTACTACAAAGTTGCTTACTATATTCGTTGGGTACCAAAAATTAAAATGTTACTATACGGCACCGGAAAAATAAATATTGTCACCATTCAGTGTTTTCCTTTTTGAGCAAATCTAAGACAGTCAGTACCTGGCAGGCACTCTCGATTTTATTAATTTAAAAAAGGTAAGTAAGCAATGCTTAAAACTTATCCCATTAAAGAGTATGTCGTATTAAGATTTCCTAAATGTCCATGACGGTTCCACTTTGAAACTATCTATATAAAAGACTACCTCAAAAAGATTACTTTAAAATGTAGCTCTATTTTAAAACATTTAGCTAAGAGACCGTCTCACAAGATTTTCTAAAAATTTCAAGATAATTCTATTTATTATTATATTTTTATAATTCTTATTAACTACCTTATACGGAGATATGAAAAGAAATCTAATTTAAACTTAAAACACCTCTAATTGAAGACGGTAAATCAGAAGTTCATAGGTCTTTGTTAAACCTGCTCACCCAACCTTTAACTGATCATGATACCTCCAAGGAAAATTTCATCTGAGCAGGTTAATAGTTGACTTATTATCTGTTTCTACTGTGATCTTTCTGACTCCTCGCACTTTGCAAGTTTTAAACCGTAGTATATTCCTTCAAGCTTAGCAACAAAGCTATAGTCCACTCCAATATATTTGCATTCAGCTGCAATAAAAATGTCTTTATCCACGAATCACAAAACCCATCCCTACTTCTCCAGGTTATCTTAAAGTTGATCCGGTGGTGTTCAAAATTATTTTTCCTGGATCCAGTAGTTTCTAGCGTACATGAATAACTTTCTTCATTGAACGCTCAGATCTTTATTTAAAATACTCTCCAATTCTTTTTTATTTTAGAAAAAATGAATGGTAACTCTATTTATGTTTTTGGTGTCACATAGTAACATTTTAACTTTTGATACCAAAAGAATATAGTAAGCAACACTTTGGTACTTTTTGTGTAGTTAATTGTAACAAATTCTTGCATGGACACAAATACCCTTCGGTCAACTAACGTGACAAAATAATTGACCGTTAGTTTTTTGCCGAAACCCTAATGAAAAACCAAATAGTAACACTATTTATGTTTCCGGTTCTATATAGTAATATTTTACACTTTTGGTACCGAACGAATATAGTGAGCAATTTTATGGTACTTTACTTGTAAACAGTTTCACATAAAAACAATAAAACGTACATACAAGAAAAAACATTTAACGGTATCAAATGAAAATGTGGCGGATACGGGGATCACAACAAGGAGCCGTCTTAAGCCTATATGGCACAGTAGACGGTGAATCCAAGCAAGATCGAAAGTTTGGGATATTTAGCACTAGCATTAACTCTTTATAACTGTTTTCCTTATGTCTTCATTAATTGGTACCAACTCTGCATAACTCATGAATATCATACTCTAGCCAATGTAGCTATCCGAACAAGCCCGATGCTTGAGTCGTTTAGTATCGCTGATCAAGGCAGAGCCCAACTCCAGCTCTTACATGTACGATTATTCGGGGTGATGAAGTACGCCATCAGAATACATTCAATAATAACATTGCAAACTTAGCAGAGGCGCGAAACACTATCGGAATATTCAACATTTATTTAATCAATCATATAATCAAATCATTCCACACATAAACAGTTCAAATTTTCTTCAAATATGATAACAAGTAAAACACATATCTCGGGGTGGTAAAGTACACCATCGAATCATTCGAAGATATACATTTGATATTTCAATTATGCTTACAAGAAAGTGCTCAAATATGTTGCGTCTTTTGAACATATTCTCGTACTCTCAGTTTTTAAAATAATTTCAGAAAGAGTGAAAATACTCACAGATATGTGGTGCTGTCTCAATTGAAGTATCACATGCATTATATGTAACTATACAATATTAATAACCTTTTGTAATCATTCCACCACTTAGGGTCTTTCATTTTTTAACTAGGCGTTACCGTTTGATGTCTTATATTAAATCCTGACATTCATCATATCTAAATCTTATATTAGGCTTCACAAATCCTGATATCTTTTCTAATGTTTTTTAAGTCTATATACTTTAGTCCCTAAAAACCTTGAAATATTGAACAAATTATTGTAACCCCTAGGTAACTCAAGATAAGTTCTAAAATATAGAACAAATTTTTATGTTAACTTGGGGAAAGATATTATATATATGCAGCATGAACTAGCCCATAAAAATTATATCATTAGAAAGCTCTATGGATCTAGTTTAATATGCAACAAACAGTTTTAATTTGGAGCTTTCTACAGAGAGATATCGACATTTTCCCTAAGACACGCAGTGCTACTTACAACATCTTTTGCTTACGTGTTTTTATTGTTTTCTATCAAGTTTTACGTAAATAATTCTTAGGCATAATATAACTTTGATACACATGAGTAACCTTAGTAAAAATTAAAACACTATCTAATATAAAGTAAAAATATACTAAGAGGGTTTTCAAAATTACCTCTCTAAACTGATATCGAAGCGATGCCAAATATCAATACTTTCTTCTTTCGTTCCCTCCCCCCCTCCCCCCCCCCCCTCTCAAGACTAACTCTCTCTTATTTACTTCTGAATTTTGCTATGCTTTTTACATGTTCCCATCCCTCCTATTTATAGTCATTTGTCATCTCATTGTTTCACTTTTCTGCTTCATCAAACTAGTTTCTATTAGTCACTAGTCTAAACTTTCCTAGATTGATCTCATGTCCTAGTAAGATTGCTTACTCATATTAGGTTCATGAATAACCATCTTACTTCACCTACATGCTTCACCAATTTGTTTAAGCATTTAGTATGATTAGTCATCAACTAACCTTTCAAAACTTGTCCAATGCCACCTTTAGATTTTGATTAGTCATGCTAGGATAGTATAGTCACCATTTTACTTCACATTCTTCATAGCCTATAGGTTGCCTTGGTCGCCAAATTAAGTGTCATCATTCTTCATTGCTCATATGAATGTAATAGGGGTGTAGGGGCAGTTTCATTCTTATATTCCGGAAGCAGTTCATGCACACAATGATTAATTAATTGTGTTAGATTTTGGACCGTGCTTACAAATTATTTTGCTAAATAAATTAATTAAATGTTAAAATTTTTCTTTTATAAAGTAATTCTTGGAAGTTCTCTATAAATAATTTGTAGTGATAACATAAAACAATCTAGGTTAATTTTTTGTTTAGAGATGTTACATAACCACTAGTTGAAAATATCTCTATATAGTAAGACTAATTGTGAAGGTACAAATAATAGCAAATGTTATACTGTAAAACTTTTTAAAGATTGTAAAATTACAACTCATAGAGACGTGCATATGAGAATTCATACTAACGAATCTTTCATGATGATGATGATGATGATATTCTATTGTAAAACAAGGGGGGAAAAAAATATTTGAAGGAGTGCCTGATGCCAAACTAACCAAAATATTGGATGCTTCGATGATGATTGTATTTAATGTGTGTGATTCAATTATGTAGGTTTTTACTTAAAACAAAAGTAAAATAAAATTTTGTAGAGTTATAAGATGGGTGTTTTGACACGGCCTGCTATTTACTCCTCTCGTCCCATAATTATTGTCTAGTTTGAGTTTTCATTTTTAGTTCAAATTGTACTAAAAGTGAAATCTCAAACTGAATAATAATTTTGGGACAGAGGGAGTATTTTCTTTCCAAATTGATAATAGCATCTCGTGAGAATAGATCTACTATAACTTTTACACAAAAAGTATATATAAATAAACCCTATTTATTTTCTCCTAAAAATAAAAATTTAAAAATCTCTCCTTAATTCAATCTTTAGTTTTGTATTTAAAAAAAACCCAAAAAGTTTCGATAAACCTCCAATTTACTCCCCCAAAAGAAAACAGCGACTTGAGGCGACACTTGTTAATGGCTGTGTTCTTCGATGCCCAGTGCATGAACGACACTTAAAACTCAAAAATCAAAAATTGAATAAAGTTCCAATCTCTTTCGCTTCTTCCTGATTTGATCTTTATTTCTGGGTTTTGAGTTCCCTATTATTTTCCCGTTCTGCAACAATAAAGGTCTCATTTTTTTCCAGTTTCCCTTTCTTCGACCCACCCAGAAAAAGGGGAAAAACCAAGGGAAAATGAGATGGGAAAAGTTGCAGATAGAAGGTGGTGGTGACGGGCCAGGGAAGAGGTGGGGCCACACATGCAATGCCATTCAAGGAGGGAAGCTTCTCTATGTCTTTGGTGGCTATGGAAAAGATAACTGTCAGACTAACAAAGTTCACGTCTTTGATACTGGTAGGCCGCCAACCCGTTCTTTCTGGGGTGGGTTTTGTTTGTTATTAGTTTTTGGGATTTTGGTTAATCTGTATTAAACTTGTGGAGAATGGGTTGGAGAAGTTTTAATCTTGGGACATTTTGAAAGAGTTCTTTGATAATGTTGGTAGTATATTGATTGGGGCTTTGTTTCTCTGGGGTTTCTCAGAGTGTTTGTGGATGTAGATTTTTGTGGGTTTTGAGTTATGTGTTTACTCCTGAGTGGGTTGTAATTAATGTTTTTGGTTTAAAGTTTTGTGTTGTTTCTACTGGCATTTCATTTTTCTGGCTTTCAAAAATTTGTGCTTACAACTCACTGCATGATACTTAAACAACTGTTGTGATTAATTTCATCCTTTAGAATCTGGCTTTAACCTTTATTCAATCTATTTAATTCTGGCATTTTCGCTGGAGTCTGTAATATTAAGTTCGTCCTCTTAATACTTTGTAATGTTTTGTTCTACCAGTTAATAGGACATGGAGCGAACCGGAAATGAAGGGCGTACCACCTACCCCAAGGGATAGCCATAGTTGTACCACCGTTGGTGATAATCTCTTCGTATTTGGGGGCACAGATGGGAGAAGCCCTCTTGGTGATTTGCATATATTGGACACCTGTATGTTATATTTTTCGTTCTTAAGTTTCCAGTTCGACGCTTTTGTGGAATGTCTTCTGATTAATTGGTTGATGTTCATGCTGTTGCTTGTGTTGAAGTATAGATCCTGGGAAATATTATGTTCTTTCTGTCTTCTACTTTTTTTCAGTGAGATTTTTTCTTCTGCTTAGTAGGTGTTAGATATTTTCTTGGCACAATCCTTTTTCCTTTACAAGGATGTGTTCTTGTTATATCCTGGTGCCTTCATCATAAAAGAATAAGAAGCAATTAGTTTCTTCAAAATCTGGATATTTAGAGGGAGAAATTGTAATTATTTTCTCTAAATTAGTATCTGAGAACCCTATTTTCAACATCATTTCTTCAGAGTATGCCTAATACGTGCATCTTCATATATGAAAACCACTTAACTAAGATATAATCAGTTGGTAAATGCTTAATGTTTCTTAAAGAGATGACATTCTTATTCTTGTTACATAAACTAATTTAACTATTTTAAAATGGGTAAATGTTCCCATATTTCAGTTGGTAAATTGTTCTGATCTTTGTTGCTATGGTTGCAGTTAAAACATAACTTCCATTTTGAAGGAATAAACTCCTATTCATAAATGGTTTTGGGTCTTAAAGTTTATAGTTATGAGCTGTTTACTGATCTTCTGGTATGTCTATTTTGTTTAGCATCAAATACGTGGATCTCACCTAGTGTGAGAGGCGATGGACCAGCACCAAGGGAAGGCCACAGTGCAGCACTTATTGGGAAAAGGCTCTTCATCTTTGGTGGATGCGGAAAATATGATGGTCTCGAGAAGTACTATGATGATGTTTATATATTGAATACAGGTATATTTCTCATATTGTTGTGTTTTAAGAGGTCTAAAATCTTCAACAAAGTATTTCTCTCCCTTTGACAATGGGAAAATGTTAAGATATTGTTTACCTATTTGCAGAGACATTTTTATGGAAACGGGTTGTGCCATCTGGTGGCCCACCAACAAAGCGAGACAGTCATACCTGCTCATCATGGAAGAACAAAATTATTGTGGTCGGTGGTGAAGATGTGTCCGATTATTATTTGTCAGATGTTCATATATTGGATGCAGGTATAAATGTAATCAATTTCTGGGTTGAGAAGATAATAAACATGAAATACTCTTTTCTGAATATGTTAATTCTTTCTTTTTTCCTTCTAGATACTCTTCTTTGGTGCAAGTTGAATACTACTGGCCAGCTATTGCCACCCCGGGCTGGACATACAACTGTTGCCTTTGGAAAGTACTTGTTTGTATTTGGGGGTTTCTCAGATGGGCAGAATCTATATGATGATATCTATGTGCTAGATTTGGGTATGTTTTATGCAACTGGTTAACTTCTGTACATGCATATTCTCAAAGTTTTTGGCCCCAGACCTGCCGCCCAATGAATGACCATATTTAACTGTCATTGGCTTGGTGATTTTTTTTTTTTGGTTTTATAACATGGTGTATTTTCTTTTCACTGTCCGTAGGATAGAGAGGCTTATTGGAAAGTGTAAAGGTTCTTCATTTTTGTGTGGAAAATAGGCATCAGATACAGATGATTATTCCTTAAGTCTTGCAAATGTGCAAAAGAAGAGGATATCCATTGACAGAGTAAAGGGTCTAAGGGTTGCTAACAAGATAGTTTCTTGTGGCATGCAGATTGAATATATTGTTTGAAAAACCGCTTACATTTTTGGATTGGGAATTGAATTCTATTTCCCTGTCCCTTCCCTGAATTGTAAACTTGTATAAAAGCCAATTCAGGCAGCTAGGTTAACTTCGGGAAAAAATTATGAGACGTGAAAACATTTACCAGGCAATGCAACCTTGTACATGCCTTTGATTTGTTACGCACATGGAATATAAGTTTGTCTTTTTAAGTGTCTCTAGGCCTTTACTTTAGGCTGATCTAAGTGCCCAACTGGTTATAAAAAATTGTATGTTTATATTTTATAAGAATATCTTTTTCTCTTTTTTTTCCCAAACATGTAAAGAGAGTGGTGCATGGACCAAGGTAATTCCTTCCGGTGAGGGTCCTTCTGCAAGATTTTCCATGGCTGGAGAAGTCTTGCATCCAACAATGGGAGGTGTGCTCGTCTTCATGGGTGGCTGTAATAAGAATCTTGAAGCTTTGGCAGATATGTATTTATTGCACACGGGTATATTTTGTCCCTTCCTCCCCCTCTCCTCAATGTTCACTTCCAATGGTTCTTTAGATTCTAGAAGCATGTTGATCGTTGACTTGTAAGATTTAAAATGCCAATGCCAGGGATTACTACTGATTTTGAACGAGAAGAAAGGAGGATGGAGAAACTCTCCTTTAGGAAGCAACTGAGGCTAAAGTGTCAACAAGAAAGTAATCCACCCTCATATCATTCAGGTCTTTCACCCATTCAGACTAATTCTATCCTTCAGTATTCTGTCGCAAATTATCTCCAACCTAGTAAGAACACTTTTCTCTTTTCATTTACTCCATGCTGTTTTAGATTTTTTTGAAGCAGGGTTCACTTCATTAATATATTCCAACTTAAACTTGCATAGTTGAACAACTGGCCAAAATAATAAAATCACACCAGTGCATCTCTTCTGTCTGGTTAGAAGTAGAGAAACTAGAATACTTTAGTTTGTTCACTTTTGGTTTTAGTAATTCAAAGTGTTGCATTTGGTTAACTGAGGGAAAATAGTTAGCTGCTTGGACGTAGCAATGATACCATTAAAAAGGGACAAAGATGCTTTTTGGTTGTACATTTTTGATATTGAAGAAAAGATAATTTAGACCCTTGAGATTTTCAGGTTATGTTTGGCAGTCAATTGGCTGTTGAGATCTACACATTTAGTCATAGCATCAGTTTCAGCCACTAACCTAAAGAAACAAAGAACATGTTTTTCTAAGAGCTGTTTCTTGCTATATTATTCTGAAGCGGGGATTGATATAATGGTTTCTGTTAAAATATCATAAATTTGATCCATGGCTGAGCATACTCAGTTAAATAACATGTTATGCCAAAAAAGAAAAAGAAAAAATGCCTTTGTTTTCTAATATATTTTCCATGTGTTAGTCTAGCTCTGGTTTACTTCAGCCAGTGTTATCTTCAAGTTGTGGAGCTTCACCCATAGTTTAATGCTATCTGTTCGGTATTATGGCCACAAATGCAAATTGTATATTTTCTTGGTTGTGAAATATATTAATATGCGCTGGCTTGGGTGATAGTTCTGATGTTAAAGATTAGAAAAAGATGTTTAAGTGATTCTGATTATATAAGAATTGCTTTGCAGGCCAGCATGCTTTGTATTCGAACGAATACCAAACACGTGGAGGGAAGAAGACATTTGAGGCCAAGGTTATGAAAAGGTTTGCAGATGGATACACAATTGAAACTTTTATTGATGGCAAGCCCCTTCGTGGATTATTGTTTTGCAATAGGCGACAGAATGATAAGGAAAATGTTGCTGATTCTGCAAGGTGAGAATCATTTTTCTATCTTCCATGATGGAAGCGTCATAATAATAATTATGTAAGAATTTCTTTACCAATAAAGTGGAACGTGATTATGATTGTCCTCTCTAAAGGAAAATCACAGCCGTGGATGGGACAAAGGTAAGTGGTAATGAAGATGATACTGAAGCGATGGATTTAACAAAGTCCTCATCGGAGCAGAATCTCGAGGATGTCCAGATGGTAGATGGTGATGTTCCAGTGGAAAAAACGGCAAGTGCATCTGCTGAAGTACAGATGCCTTCAGTGATGGAAACAAAGAATCTGGAATCAATCGATGCTTCACTTTCCCTTGAGGTGATGTCAGCCCTTTCACTTCTATTAAGGGCTACTTGATAATATTTGAATTATAAAAGTTGCAGTATCAGCTGTAAGAGGGAGAATGGGCTTATGTGTTTCTGCATTTCCGTGGATCTTCTAACTAAGAAGCTTAGTTGAATTATAACCATTTGAGTGAAAATTACTATCTCATGCTAACATAATTTAGATCTTTGGCCTATTGAAGCTGCAACTTCAGGGATGGAATTGTGGAATCAGATTAAGATGAGTTTGATAAGCTGAAACAATGTTGATGATGAAGCTATATGCTGTAGTTTTGCACATTTGCATTGCCTATACATTTTCTTTAGGTGTGAGATTCAGGTGTAATGTTGTATGGACTAATAAAAGCGAAAAAATGGAAATGAATTCATAGTATAAGATTCGTGCAAAACAGAACACATGAGACTGGCATATTGAAGTTTGAATGCCAAGTCGTCAGAAATCTTGATTGGAGTTGATTCATGGTGAACAATATGATGCTGATATCAGCTTCTCATAGTATGGCGCCAATTTTGTTTTACATATTCATCATAGAAGACAGGAGTGTAAGGACGGGAAAGACAGACAGACAAACTATCTTTCATATTGCCATTAAAATCGTTAAGTTATTTTGATCTTTGGTTAGCAACATAATCAAACTCCAGAGAATGAACTACTAACCGGTGGTGTATCTTTTTGTTTCAGAGGAGAAGCTTCCTTTTTTTCTTTCTTCAACTATTTTTCTTAGACTGCTATAATACCCCAAACTGTTACTTACAATTTATACTTCAAAGTCACAAAGTATGCTGCCAAATAGTGACTTCCCAATTTTTGTGAACAGGGCGAGGCATCAAAGTTTTCAGTGGTACTGGATGTGAATTTGGACAGTAATGGACTAATAAATGCCCCAATCGCCAGTAATGATTTCCCCGAGGATCATGTTTCCATGGGAAAGGCTTAAATTGTGAGCTAAGGTAGATCAGCTTCTTATAATCTGACCATGGCAGTTAGTTGTTAGAGAAAATAAGCCGTTTCACTTGAAAGGATTTTATTTTTGCTTTTTGTCTGAATCATGTAGGCACTAGGCAGTCATGTCCTGTATTGATAAAAGACAAGGGATCCATTTTGGGTTTTTATTTGTGTGTCCTGTTCATGCAATTTGGTTATAAGCATTAGAGTTGATGCAATGCTTGGGTTATGTGCATTTGAGTTAGATTATTAGTAGTCTGTTGATATTAATGTGTCGAAATGCAGAAGAATGGAATCACAATAGCATAGTGTCTGTTCTACCTTTCTGGTTAATAGTTTTATTATCATTTAGTTGGATATCATGTTTGTGTGTCGGTGCATTATATATACCCTGTGTAATTTTTGCTTTCTGCGCTTTGGCTGTCTTTTGGGTGGGTTGTGGTTCTCAAAAGTGAATAAGTTAGATTTCATTGGCACTGGGTTTCTTCATATTTTTGTAATAATTCTTCATGGATGACAAGGACTCATGCTAACTTTGAATTTTGGTATGGTATTGATTCTTTTAACTTATTTTGCTGAACAGATTGCCAGATTTTTTATGAGCTCTAGATCAATCATATCCAGCAGCACACACTTGGAGACCAGAAGGTGAAGAGATTCTCCTGTAGATCCTGATATTGGGATTTTGCAGGATCAAAGACTAACCATATTGTACATTTGAAGATTCTCCCCAAGTTTCACTTTCCTAACCTGTGCATTTGCTGTAGCGTGGGATCCCAGTTCTGTGTTAAGTTAGTTCCATATGGCGAAAGATAGTAGGTTTAGTTTGTTAGCCTGTACTTAGAAAAACATTGCTCTCCGTCCGAATGAAAGAGGATGAGAAGTGTTGTTTATGATTTTTGTCACATGGGTCAAGAGTTGATGCAGGGGCTTTCTTTTGTGTTCTGGGTAGCCACATATGGTGTTTATGCATAAAATTGCTCCTTGCAACTTAGTATCACGGATGAAGTGGAAGATGTGCTTACTGGAGATGTTAAGCCTCTCTATGGGCATTTTTGTTTCATTTTGTGTACATTTCTGAAACAACTTCCATCTCTTGATGTTTTAGTTATTTTGTAGCGCAACTTAGTCCTCTGCTATATTTTATTACACGAATTGCGCTGTCAAATACTCATTTTAATTTAAATTCAAACTTAAACGAAATGCAGAGCTTGCAAACCTCTTGTGATCTTGATGAGCAGATTGGCCAGTTCCTGTTGATTTGATGATAAATTTGCACCGCCCTTGGCGGTGCTTGATTAGTTGATTCCATGCTTTGAAACATTAGTTGATTAGTTGGCCAGTTCATCCATGAAGATTTCTGATGATGGGTAGTTTGCGAAAGGTTTAAACATGTAGAAAGAATATCATGAAATATGTGGCATGGATCAATTTGCAGAGCAATTAGATCTTAGGAAGAGGATGCAGTATGAACAAACATATAAGAGATGTTGCAGCAAAATGGCATCATCATACCAAGCAAATTCACTTGAATGAACAAAGCACTAGCATCAACCGCTAGAAAGACAGCAACTGGGCATTGCCGCTTAAAATTCAAATCCTAGGACGTTAACCTACCGGCAAAAGAACTATATTACAATTGCTAATGTCTGCTAAGACTAAATGTTTATCAAGAACGAAGAAAAGCGCTACAGCACGCTGCGGTAGTTGTTGCTTCCAAACATATAATCCGTGAAAGTTCCAGAGGCTGATCAAACCCATGCTCCTTAAATATACACATATTTTCAGTTTCATGAAATACATGAACACTCATGTTGATGGGAGAATGGGAAAGGGCTTTGCATCAAGAAAACAAATTATCATACTATCTAATGCTTTACAAGAAACAAGAAAAGATCCATTATCACACTACTGCAGTCTTGCCAGCTTACTACAAGAGATTCAAGTGACCTGTCTAGCAACAACCAACCAACCAACCCACCTACCTAATCCCATTTGCAAAATTAATAAGTAATTACACAAAGGCCTAAAGCTAAAAAGATACTGAACACGTTATGTGCTTCCTACAGGTTCTTCACTGGGTAGACTCATCAAAAGTGGGGTCTCTGTTGCTTCTTTCTCTATTGCTTCATTCTCTTTGATACCATTGAGTCTGCTGCTTATACCATGTCAAAGGCAGAAAAAGAAAATGTTTCAGAAACTACAACTTAAAACTTGCAGCCACAACCATCAAGGAAAGAAACAAGCAGCAACTTCACATTTGAATATCGGGACCAAATGGAGACACAAGTTACTTGACATCTAAAAATTAAGGTACACAGCAATGGGATTGAATTTTATGGTTAATAGATCAATGACATCTTTGCATAAAGAACAGATGAAACTAAAAGAACATTTTCCTTAGCAAACATACAAGAATTTGATATAATTCAAAGGCCAGACAAATCTAGTCTCAACAGGAATCATATTGTGAAAGCAACACTTTTTATTTTCGACATCCGTAGCATTTGGTAGGAAGCAATCAGAATTTTACCATGCTAGCATCTCAATACTGGCCAACTTTTAAATCAAAGCAATGTCAACTAAATGTAAAATTACACTTGTATCTTTAAAAGGTACGGACTACAACAAAAGCTCAGCAAAACAAGTAAAAACAATTAATCAGAGGAGCTGTACAGCAAAAGCATATCTTAAGATCATCTGAGTAAGAAAGAGAATACAAGTACTTGTGTTTCAAATTGACGTATCAGGTTTATTTTATATGTAGAAACTAAAGGTGAAATCAGTGAATATAGTTGACAAGAAATAGAATCAGATGCATGATACAACAAAATATAGAAAGATCAAGGGAAATTTTTTTTCTTAGGAGACATACTTGCAAGTCTTTTTATTGTGACCTAGGCCCTTGCATTTGCTACACTGGAGCTGGCGTTTCATAACATCCAGGGAGTCAACAGGTTTCATCTTCGGTCTACCGGGTGGTCGTTTTGTTGGTGGAGGGGTTACGGTAACACCAGTAACATCCAATTCACTTTTTACAGGTTTTTCGACATTTGGTATAGGATTAATTGACTCGGCATAAGTTGCATGGTAGCTCTCAGCGAGGAAGTAAGTCGAACAATAATCATATGGACTTCTACCAACCGTTTCCAGAACAGCAATGGCATGGCAACAAGGTAACCCCAAGAGCTGCCATCCTTTGCAACTACAATCCAGGTGATCAATATCCACAATATCAACAGACTCACCTGTAACTTGAAATGTGTTCCCCTGTAAGAACAAAACTTGCAGCGATTGTGCCTTTGAAGTTTCATTCTGAAGCTTTTCCTCCATCAAAGGACATAGTCTGGTAGTCCACTGACTAGATTCAACTCTACGCGTATAGATCAATTCCATCATCTTCCCTCTTAATACATCAATCATCTGAGTTATAGGCAACTCATCTGCCTCCGATACCCAGTTGTAGAACAATTGCCCAAAGTTTGAGGTCATGTGGTTGTATCTAGCTCCACCAAATAAAGCATTTGCCCAGTTTTTTGGCCCACTTTGAATGACCCAATTGTAGGCTTCAGGCGAGATAGCTTTTATGTTCTCAGCACACCTTTCAAATGCATCAAGTTTTGGTGCAAATGCAGCAGCAGACAAATCTTGGACCATGAGGCGTCTTGCCTCATGTGAAAATTGTCCCTGTAAATCCCTATTCAGTTTCTCAGCAAGATAGCGTAGGCAATAAGCATGATAACAATCCTCACCAAAAACATCTCGTAACGAATCACTTATTCCTTTTTGTAGATCTGCAACAAACGTTATTTGCCTGGACGTTGAAACAGCAGACTTTAGTTCTGAGAGGAACCAGTGCCAATTTTCATCAGTTTCTTCATCTACCACTGCAAAGGCCACTGGAAAAACACCATCATTCCCATCCGCAGCTGTTGCACCCAACAGGGTGCCTTGGTACTTTGAGTAAAGAAGAGTGCAGTCAAGGAAAATAAGCGGACGGCAAGCTTTGAAACCAGATAGCGAGGCATGGAACGCGACAAACATTCGATGGAAAGTGGAGTCCTCCTTCGTGGAGAATGTAGCAATACTACCGGGATTTGTTTCAATTATCTTCTCACAGAAATAAGGTAGTTGGCAGTAAGCCTCCTTAAAAGATCCTTGAAGCTGCTCTCTGGCAATCTCCTTGGCCCGCCAAGCTTGAGAGTAATTAAGTTGAATGCCATACTCGCGTTTTATGTCCGTGGCAATGTCCTTAGGCTTGTAATGGGGAGAAACTTTTAGCTTTTCCTTGATGATATTTCCTACCCAACCCTTTGTTGCTCGGTAACCAGCTTTTACTGTAGTTCCTTCACAAGTATGCTTATCATTCATTTTCTTGATGCAGATGAGCTGGGTGGTAGCCAGCTTAGAAGCATATACCCTCCACGGACAACCTTCGACCTTGCATTTGACAGTTACACGATGGCTGTCGTTTTTCTTATATTTGTAACTGAATCCATGGGCAATGGAGTATTTATGCAGTGCTTCCCGGAATTCCGAGAAACTACTAAACCTTTGGTCAACGCCAGTGATGGTATTCTCCCATTGAGTAGCGGCTCTGCGATGCTTCTCGTCATTTCCAGAATGACAGATATCAAGTGAAGACTGGTCAACTGGTTCCTCCATAAAAACCAGATCATGCGGACCACACAAGTCATCAGTGCCACCAGGAGGAACACCAGCCTCAGATACAGTAGTCCTGCTGGACCTGTATACGCATTAATTTATTCAAGTCCAAGCTCATGGAAGAAGTAGCATTCATAAAGACACAGATACTGTTCAACTACAAGCAACCAAATCCATCAAAGCTGACTACAAATTAGTAACAAGCAGAACAAAAACAAAATGAATTTATAAACAAGTAAACATGAATCTCACTATACAAACTATTCAGCTAAATGTAACATTTACCCCACTCTCATATCAGGCACCAGCAATAACTACGACTAAGAATTATTGACTGACTATATGCCGCTAAATTTTTATCATAAAACATATAGATTTTGTCCAAAAATGAACAAGAGACCCATCAGGCGAGCAAATAAGCCTTCATCCTACAAACAATGCGGGTTCAAACCAAGCCACTTTCTCTATCAACAACTAAGCTGGACTGCAATGCACGTGTAAACATACAAAAAAGAGGCAGAACAGAAGTAGTAGCAGTAGCAGTAGTACCTACTCACAGGCAAGTTGGAAACATTGCGAGCAACAACTTCGTCCTCAGCAATGATGAAGACCTCAACTTGGTCAGAATCCTTGAAGAAGTTCACCATGCGCTTCAGGTCCTTATCTTTGGAAATAGAGATGAGGGTTTTCTTATTTCCAGGTAGAAAATACTTAAGGGTGATTCCATCAACATTACACTGGAAAGTCTCAGATAATTCATGCTTGAAATCTTCTAACTCAGTGTTCTCATCCAAGTCCAGAGCATATGCTTCCCCACCAGTGTAATGCAATGAACCATCCTCTGGGTTTGTGGTAAACCCTCCTCCAGATTGGCATATGGTTATAATCCTCTTTGAAGCCATTGATAGACCCAGATTTTATTTTCCTTTTATCTGCGTTGCAAAAAAACATAAAGATTCGATTTTGCTGCCCAATTGTTAATTGGTTCATGTTAATTAATGAAAAACCCAACACTTGAATTTGAAGATTAACCCAAAAAGATTACAACTTTGGAATAATATAAGCTGAGAAGGCCTAATTCAAATTATAAGGAAGCAAGAAAGAGAAAGAGAGAATTATGAACCCTAGAGAGGGTTTTTGGGGGAAAAGGGGATGATGGTATAATTGCTAAAGAACCAAACTTTATTGAGAGAAATTACAAATAAATGAAAGATTTGCAGGGGAGGAAAAAAGAATACCTTGGAAGTAACGGGGTCACGGCGGCAGGGCTCAAAAGTTCAGTCAGATTTGCACTGAGAAGATGATGAAGTTGAAGGAGGAGGAAAGCAAAAAAAATAAAATTTATTTTTAGGGTACAAAATTGAAACCCCATAGAAGAAGAAGGGCTTTCTATCTGCTGCAGAGAATTTATATTTGTTACTGAATATGGGCTACTGAGTGATAAAAGAAAGTTTTGTGGTTGAGAGTTGAAGAGTCCAAAATAAACTAAACCCAACCCAACACACGGCATCTTTTTTTCTTTCTTTTTCCTTTTATTTTTTTTTTTTTTAAAAAAAAATTGACTTGAGAGCCCAAATGTTGGCTAGTCAATTCGGCTTATTGCCTCTGGAGCACAGCATTATAGATGTCTCGGTGAATAGAATAAGCTATTATCGATGTCTCTCTATACAAAGTTTCGTAATTTTTATAATAAGGTTGTACGCTAAGATATGTTTATTTCGTTTTCTTAGTGTGTGTTTTTAGGTGTATTTTGTATTGAGAATATAAAAAGGTGTATTGAAAATATAGAAAGATATGCTTGGACCGGATAGTTATTATTTAAATATTTAAAAAATACCATAAAAAAACCTAACAAACGAAGCCTTAATTTCATTATTGAACGATTATGACGAAATTCTCCTCATAACCTGAATTCAGAAGTATGAAGGTGTTTTGGCTGATGTAATTGACGAGCGAGCTTTGGCTGCGGCGATTCTCTCGTGACTATAGTTTCTGAATGCCTAGGTCTCGGTTGGAGACCACTTCTTTGGGGCATGCATATGATTTGGGGTTTTTGGAGGATGTGAAGACTAATGTTTTAGTGATAATTGTATTGGACAGTTGAGCTTAAAGTTTTTATCTAGTGTTGATTTTTCCCCTTTAATTATGTGGTGAAACATTGTTGGAATGCGTTTAGTCTGATTGACGGAAATTCTTACCGGATTGTCGGATTTCTTATGTTTTCATGGATTATGGAGTTATCGATTTGATTAGTTCTGGAATTTTATTTTACCTTATTTTTGTTTTCTTTCCTTTTAGAAGTGCTCTAACAATGTTATGGTGAGAGGATTTCAGAAATGGAGGTGGAATTTCGGCTGAACGATGGGAGTGCCTCTGCCCTCTGCTGCATTTGCTTCAAAGATTACTTTCGATTATTTATAGGAGGTGAAAGAAAAAATAAATTATGACACAAAACTTTAAATAAATGAATAAGGAAAACAGAGGTAAAAAAGTAAAAACGTAGCTCAGGCCCAACAAGAGTCAAAAGATGTGGAGGTCCAGCTTCTTTTTCAGGAACGACATCAGATCTTGCATTGGACAGAATAAGACAGAAAAAAAGATGGACAGACGACCTGCTCTCCCCCTCTCCATATCAAAGGAAAACGTCTTATTTTGCCCAAAATTTGGAAATTTCTTTTCAAGAAAAGTTTCGGAAAATTGAAAATGCACCCAATAACTTATGCATTCCCTTCAAATAGTCCAAAAAAAAGGTTTAATTTTGTTGCTTCTTTTATTATGGTACTGTAAGGGTTTTTTTTTTTCCCCGATTGAAGAAATTGGAGAAAAATAAATTTTTTTTTTAAAAAACAAAACCTCCATAAATCAAGATTTTTTTATTTTTTTTGGAAACTCCATGAATCAAATTTGGAAACTACCAAATCCACCTATGTTTTGGAAAGTGCGATCCTGTTTGCCCCTTTTAAATAGAGAGCCCTCCCTGTAAAATTGTCCCAACAAATTCAGAAGAATACACAATCCCGATTCTGTTTAGTACTTTGTGTTTGCTCTCAGGCAAGATGTGGGAGTACTGTATTCCCGGCCATATAATTGCACTGCTTCCCGTGGTATGCACTCAATGAAGAAGTCATCCTCATTTAGCACCTATGTACGGTTAATTATATTCCAAGTCAAGCTTCGCAATTGCTGGAATCTTGCGTCAGTTTTATTGGCAGAAAGCGTTATGTTTCTGTACCGCTCCGGTTTCAGAATGTGGTGTCCTTAAAAATCACTTACCAATCAACTTAGTCAAATGATGAAAACAGCATTACTAGCATCAACACACTAGAGTAATAGCAAACTGAATCTTCATTAGTAGTGACAGTAACGACAGAACAACTCACGACTTGTAATCCAGGGAGGTTACAGGACCAGCCAAGAACTATATTACAGTTGCAAATGTCTGCAAAGACTAGGATGATTTAAAACTGTTGGCGCAAGAGGAGAGCTGTGGGGTACACTGCTTTAGTTATTGCCTCCAAACAGATAACCCAGTGAAGATCCACCCCCCGGGGCAGCATGGACTTTGGTTGAAGGCCGATCCTGTAAGAAATAACAAGCGTCTCCATGTCAGATTTCTTTAAGGTAACATAAAGCAAAATCATGGAAGAAGAATGCATCCAAAATCCAGCAAAATCAGGAAATCGCAACGAAAGACATCAAAAAGGTATACAAAGAAACAAGTTTTTGGCTATCATTTAAATGAAACGTAATCAGGTGAAATTCTTTCCCACTACCACACCAAGTTATGTTGTCTTTTCCTTCTCCTTTAATAGAAAAAGAACAAGACATGAAGTTGAATTGATTTAAATGCACTTCCTGAATCACATGATGAAAAACATCAAAGAAATATACAACAAAATTTGTATACTAAGTAGTTCAATAAACCTATGTATGGGGCCTGGAAACTGACTTGTTGATGCCCCCATAAAATCAGAAATAAGGAGAACAGAACATAAAACCCACTTAAGGGAATGAGACGCCACTTCTGACTGAGTAGATATCATTTTCACAAATTAATGAAGCAATTTTGATTGCTATAGGAAGTCAAGATCAGCTTACAGTCAGGAAATTTCCACTGTTCTGACCATCAGCACGATGATAGTTGTTAGCCATGTTTCCTCCCTGGATGCCGGCTGGAATTCGCTTGGTAGGCTCAGCCGGTGGTGAAGCACCTGCAGCCTTCCTAGTAGCTACATTGCTTTCAGCTGGTGGTGCCTCAGCTTTAGGAGCAGCTTCTGCAGTGGTTGGAGCAGTTGGTTGTGGTGCCTCACCATTGCCGAATAGGTAGCCAAGAGAACTTTGTCCTCCGCCGCTGCTCACTCCACGACCCATTATCTCTCAAAAAATTAATCCTTATAAGAACCTCGAGATACTGCTTCACACCAATCAACATACCAATCAAGCAAGCATGCATTAGTTCAAGAGGTACGCATCATTTCACAAAAAGTATTACGCTAAGAGCAATTCATAAATACAAATGAATTTTGTTGGAATCATACATACGATGCACAACTTCAAGAAGAGAGAAGGGGGGCGGGGTATCCAGCAATGTTTCCTTTTCTTTCCTTTTTGAACCTCACGTTATTTATATAAGTGATTTCATCTCAATCTCAACTACAATCACAAATGCCATGACGACAGAAGGATTTCCTTACTCCATCCAACTGTACTAATTTCTTTCTTCCTTCGCGGGATGGCGTGCTTTCTCTTTATATTACATTTTACAATGAACAACCGGCAGATAGGTTGGAAAGAGAATGCATACTTAACATGATTTAGCAGTGATACAAGGAGAATCACTAAGAAAGATCCACCCAAAAGGATTATGCCAAAAACAATTTGGTATACACGTGGGGAATTGATTAGTTTGGTATGCATCAACAGACGCTACAAAAAAGTAACATGCTTAATTAGACTTATCAAATCCCACACAAGATTAAGTTACAAGCCCAAGACGACCGTGATCAAAAGTTTAGCATTTGCTCGGAAACTGAAAGCTCAATTCAAGCAGCAGGCCATCAAAATTGCAGTTACTCCAAAACGGCATATGCTGGAAACTAAAAAAATCATACTACAGTACTGAGAACTGACGCCAATCATTATCCACAAACAAAAATTCAAGATTCATGTCTATGGTCAAGGAACCAAATAAAAATAATATCCAAACAGGTTTGCAGAGTTCACATCAACAGCACATTATATTAACACCAGTAATGTTTTTCTTTTTAAATAACCCAATCTACTTTTGATGGTCATTTTCAGTTGAGATGAGAGCCCAAAAGAATTTAACAAATCAAAACGTTAGATCTACAACAATTGACATCCCAGAAACTTGAAAAAGAAAATGAAATAACAAAAATGGCAATGAAGACTCAGATCCATTCTAGTACACGCACAGGAAAAAGATGAATTATAAGAAAATCCCAGTTGAGGAAAAAAACACAAACTAAAACAGATGAAAAATGGAAGAAAATAAGAAAGTGGACTGACCTGAATTGCTTGGATGAGATCTGGGAAGACGTTTGATTGGGGAAAAAATTGATTCTTTGGGGGATTTGAAGGCTGAGTTTATACTGAACAAAAGAAGTCAACCGAGTGGGAAAGAGTAGTGACTATTTTCAGTGAGTGGTCCTCCTGAAAATGATATCCAAAAATTTCACTATTATCATCCTTTTTTGTTTTTTTTTTTTCTGAAAATTTTTTTATCATAAAAGAAATTCTTTGGAATTATAATTTGCAAATAAACCTCTCAAGTCTCACCTCATCCTATATTTGGTAAAATTTCTCTTGAAAAGTCTTGTAAGTTTTAACTATTTTCAAATTTCTTTATCTTTTTTTTCCCTATATACAAATAAATTCTTGAATGATATAAGCCCATAAAAGCTCGATTTTGTTGGGATAAAAATATTTTTAACAGTGTTGTACTGTAAATATGATTTGTATTTCAGTAATATTGCTATTAGCGCAGTCATGCACATAATAAAATTACTATATATGATTTAATGACACTGTCATGTTTTTATTTCCTTGTCACACTAATGGATTCTTAAACAAAATTCTCTTATATCGTTTATAAAACAGTGATTTTCAATAAAACATAAACCTCTCAAATGATGTACTTTACTATTCGTGCCAAAATGATTGTTAAATTTTATTCTTGTTATTTTTTACTTTTACTGCTCGTTTTAAAAGAGAAAATACCTAAGAAGCACTTGTTTTTTTCCAAAAAAATAATTAATATATTGCTTTAGGCCAATTATGTAATCCTACTATTAGTAGTAATATTTCATTAAAAAGTTATAGTTTGTACTATAAGTGTATGGAAATACTTATTGAAACTTTGAAAGTAGTTTACCAAAACAAAGTAGTTTACTAATAATTTCGAAAATTATTTAGAAACTCTTCATTTTATTTTTGATTTTTTCTCTATCAGCTTCCGAATATTACAATTTACAGGCTTACAGCTGCTGTAATCAGCATCAAAACACACACACACACACACACTAGGGTTTCACATCGTGATTCAAATCTCTGTGCCATCTTTGAGTTTCTAAATTCGCGGGCTCTAATTAAGATTCCCAAATTCGATTGCACCTGGCCTTCTTCAGTTTTTTCACTCACTGCTCCATTGAAATTGGGTAAGCTTTTTTGTTTCCCCCCCTTTTTTTTTTCCCGCTCTAGCTTACTTTTTTTTTGCAGTACTTTACTTGCTCGTGGTTCTGAATACACATTGCTATTGACTCAAGTCAATCCTTGAAGGATTCTTGTTATTATTAGTGTTAATCTTGGCATTAGTTCTTGAAGTGATGTGAGGAGCAGTTGAAATTTTGATTAAGTTAGGAGCAATTTCTTCAGCGAATTTTTGTAGCGGGCTATTATGTAAGTGGATTGTGAACTTCATGCAACTGTTGTAATCTTACTCTCTTTTGTTTTCTGGGGGGTTTTGCGGAATTATGTGAATTGGTAGAACTGTTAAGGAGGATGTGATTTATTTGAATTTATGTACAACTGTGTTCTGAAAATATGCTACAGAACCATATTGCCACCTCACGCGAGCTTATAAACAGGAGGATGTGTTAAGGAGGATGTGTTTTTTCTTTGGCAAAATTACTTCTTATTCTATGAGTTTATGGCAACTGTTTTCATGCAGCGTAAAAGTAAACTGGGTTGCATCTAACATTGTAAATATTGCTCTCTCTTTTTTTTTTTTTTTTCCAGGGTTGAGTCATCTTGATTCACTGCTATGTCATGTCAACTATGCTGTTTCCTTTGGCAAAGAGTCCTTCCTACCAGGCCTTGTTGATATTTCACTAAAAGGCTTTTGTCTATTATATTTCTACAATGCACGGCCAGGGGAATTATGGAGCTGCACCTCGCCAGGATCCATATACAAACACTCCATTCCACCAGCGCCCCCCCGGTCCTCCCCCTCCTCCACCCTCAATTTCACAAGGCCTCATACCAATGGTTCAGCAAGGCCGGCCACCTATACAAATGTATCCAAATGCCTCTACTGGCCTCCCTCAGCAAGGTCCAATAAATTCGGTTTTGTCAAATGTAATAAATAATCAACCTTACTTGACTGCTCCACCTCCTCACCCTCCACCAGGGGTGCATAGCACATCCCAGATGCAGCAACATTCTCATTGGACTCCCAATGCTTCTTATGCTTCACCAGCAGGATTGCCTTCAGCTCCAAGGGTATTACTTCCTCCGCCTCATCCACAAGCGTCTAGGTTTTATACATCTCCGCAGGGTGGATCATTTGAGCATGTGATGCCTCTTTCCCGGAACGATCCTACTGGGCCACCACCACCGCCACCACCTTCTTCTCTTCCCGGGTCTGCACCTTTTCCACGGTCTTCATCATCCTCTCATTCGCCTAATACTAATGTGAAAACGACAGCTTTATCAGCTTCTGAGCCAGCTTTTCATCCCAATGTTAGTCATGAAATGGCAGCATCTAGTCCTGTTGGTGATGGAGGTAAGGGAGCTATAGCAAATGAGAATTTGCCCACAGATCTTCCTACTGCGCCACCTAAGCCTGCAGATGATAGAATTGCTCGAAAAATTGAAGTTTTGTGTCAGTTCATAGCTCGGAATGGTCCAGAATTTGAGAATATGACTCGTCTCAGAGAGTCTGCAAATCCAGAGTTCAAGTTTCTGTTCGGAGGTGAACCAGGAACTGAAGCAGCTGTTGCTCATGAGTATTTTCTGTGGGCAAAAAGGAAAAGTTATCTTGAATCTCTAGGCAGAGTTGTGAGCAGTAATGCTCCATTGAGGCAATCAGAAGACTTCTTATCCCAACAGGGTACAACAACTGGTGGAGGTGTTCCCGGCTCTCCTGCTGACTCTGACATGGACATGGAGGGTACGTCTGGATGACTTTTCTTTCTCATGTTTCTATTTACTTTACTAGGTTGTTGCTCTTCAAAGCTTGTTGACAGGTGCACCCTCAAATTGGTTGCTTATCCCGTCTGCAGTTTGCTCCTTTTCTTTTTTGTTTTCTAATATGTCAGTTGATATCTATGGCTTCATGCTAGTGTGTCCCTTTTTCATTTATTCTAATATCTTATGCTAATATATGGTTATGATGGATTGGTTGCAAGAAAACACCCATTTGGTTTCTCCACTTTTTGGTCTCGTTGCCCTTTTATGTACTTGCTTCTGAAATTAACTGAACTTTTTTTCCTTCTATGTTTTTTAACTTGGTTTATCTTCTAAATTAATTTACTCCTATGTTGAACATTTGGGCCCTTCATCTTGAGTAACGAGGTAAATAGTGGCACTTGCTTCTGCGCAAGAAGCTGTTATGTGTTACTCTCGATGAAACATGTTTGTTTTCTATTAAAATTTCAAATGTTCTAAGTTCATTTGATTGTTTCCTATTCTTTGTGTTTGGCTTTACCTAGAGAATGTGGTTCTTCCGTTTAAAGTAGTTTTGAGCATTAATTTATGATTTATAGTCGAATTAGATTGCAATAGTTATATACAGGTGAAACGATTAAGAGCATCAGATAATTTGCTTGAGTTTAAGGGGGGTGGTAGATCTTTACAACTTTCAGATTCTATTAACACAGTATGTAAAAGCTTCAGTATGGAAGGGTTAGGTGTTTTTCATCAATCGTTTAGTTGTTTACCTTGAGAAACTTGTGCTTTCATGGATCAGGACCTCGTGAAGGTTCCAGATTAATAATTGACTGAGCTAAATAAATTAAGTACCAAACTCAGGGCATGGCCCTGGGTTAAATAAACCATTATCAAACACATCCTTGTGGGAGATGTTAATCAAATAAATTTGTTTGTTCAGTTGTTACTTACTGCTTATTTAAGTTAAGACTTGTAGTATATTATTTTGGAGATCCTACTTCCCTCTCCCCTGCTAATTTTGTGCACCATTGTGCACAAAGGGTCATCTCTGGGGTTTTAATTCCACTTGTGTGGGGTTTGCTAGTTCCCATTATTCACTCCACTTCTGTCCATGGATGTAGTAGATTGTGGTGAGCAGGTTGCTTTTCCTTTTTGTGGAAAGCTGGAAATATGTTCATGTCGGGGTGTCAATATAGCTGTTTCTAGTAAAATTAGCTCTTTTAAGTTTAATGATGGGTGTGTGACACACGTGTGTGTGTGTGTGTGTGTGTGTGTGTGTGTGTGTGTGTGTGTGTGTGTGTGTGTGTGTGTGTGTGTGTGTGTCACACATAGCATATATATTTATATATGTTTAGTGTTCAAATCCTTCACTGTACATGTGTCATTTTTCTAGTTTAGGTTCAATTCATGTTTTCATGTCGCGGCAGAAGTTGCCACCCTTATCCTATGCAATGCTTGTCTTTGCTGCCATCCTATTATTGTGACTTGGAATGTTAATCACTTCAAGGAATATGCTTTTTAAATTCTGAAGTTTTTATCTTTATTTTTTCTAATTTTTCTTATTTTTGTGGTTCTGGTAGATGACATCACTCATCCTCTAGAAGAATCTCCGAGTTCCTCTTCCGTGAAACAAAGCCATGAGACGATTTCATTGTCAAATGGAATTGAAAAGGAGCAGCAGCTACAATCTTTTGATGCAACTGCAGAGCCTGTCATTGTGACTGGTGCTGTAGAAGAGAATCTTACTTATTCACGATATTCAGAATCTGGATCAAGGGACCCCAGACAAAGTATGTGAGGTTTTGGGTTCTCTCTTTTTTTCTTTAGCTTCCTTCATGTATAATTCCTTGATTTTGCATTTTGTCACGAATTTAAATTCATAGTGCTGAGCTTAAAAGTAAATTCAATTAGCAGGATAAGTAAATTTTACTTGGCGTATGTCACTGTAAAAAGTAAATATTGAAATACGCTCATTGATTTTGTAGTCCTTGTACCACAGGTAGTCTTTTAATTGAAAGAAGAATATAGTCCACTTCATCTTTTCGCTTATGTATGTGCTGGCGCTGAAATGTTTTCAGATGAGGATGAATCTGTCATGGGAAAATCTTTCGAGGTGTTAGATAGTGTGAGTTCTAAAGATGCTGGAGCACCTGCAAACTTAAATACGAGTGCTACCCTGCATGAGGTCTTGAGCAAAGCTAGTACGCCTGCAGAGCTGGGAGAGATCAGGGTGGAAAAGCATCCCAATCTACCTTCCAAGCAAGGTTCTAGTCCTTTTAGATTATTGCCAGATTATCCCTCTGATGAAGGTTCAGGTGATGAGGATCATCGTGTAGATTCGATGCCCGCAACTTCTGTACCGTCTGTTGCAGTTGACAGTACAAGTCATCGCCCAGATGATGGGTTTAACCTTGGGACAAATCGTGGAGCTGATGGTGTTTTAGAGCCTGAAGGGCTTCAATATTTAGCTCAATCATCGAAATATCATTTGAAATCAAAAGACGAGGGTGTAGAGCAAGTCAGTAATTTGGAAAAGAAGAAAGATGCGAAGACTTCGTGTTCCACGTTAAAAGTTGATGAATTTGGAAGGTTGATTAGAGAAGGTGATAGTGACAGTGACCGTGATGGTTCACCACGCTATAGCCGGCGTAAAAGAAGCCGAAGTAGGAGCAGAAGTAGGTCTCAGGATCGTCGGAGGAGGAGAAGCCCGCGTAGAAGAAATGAAAGGCGTGGTCGGTCTCGCAGGTGAATACAGAATGTTGGGTTGTTATTTTACTTTTCCCAGTTTTATATATTCTTTCGGTTTCTTATTTTTGTAATAATAACACATCTGTTACTCGTTTGCTTTCCAGCTTTTCTCCAAGGAGACGTCGAAGTAGGAGCAAATCACCTCCTTCTCGGCATGGTGGCGAAACTACAAGAAGGGACAGGCGTCCAGAATGCTTTGACTTTTTAAAAGGCAAGTGTTATCGTGGAGCATCTTGTCGATATTCGCACCATGAGGAGAAGAGTGATAGATCACGATCAAACCGTAGTAACAGGCAGCAGTTTGAAGATAGTTTAAAGAGTACTTCTGCTGTTCAAGAAAGACTTGAAATGCGTTACAAGAAATCGTCTAGTGCGATTAATCAATCCAGCAGGAATGAAGAACTGAGATGTGTTGATGCTTTGCCCTTTACTGAGGAAAAGAAGGATACCGTAGAAACAGATGGATCTACCGCTACTGCTCACTCTCTTGGGAAAAGTAGTGATTTTGAACATTCTGTTCGCTTGGCCGATGGTTGTTTGGAAAATGCTGATGTAAAATCATCTGCCATTGACGAATCAAAGCTTCAGCAATCTCAGAATCAACTGTCTGAACAGTTCCCCCCGAATGCTGATCACCATTATCAATATACAAATGCCTCTAAGTCTGCAGCTGTGGACATGCAATCTCCTGTCACAGTCCATCCTGTTGCCGACAACACACACCTGAAAAATGAAACCGCCATCAATCCATCATGCACCAGTTCATTTTCTGGGAGGAAACATTTTGGACCCGTGAATAGCTTGACACAATCTGTGGTACCTATGGAGCCAGTTCTACCTGCTACCAATTATCTGTCAGACATACCAGCTCCTTTTCCCTCAGTTGCTTCAGTTTCCAGTTCCTCATGTAATCAAGAAACACCTAGAGATTCAAATCTTGCATTGCCAGCTTCCAATTTTCCTCATCAGGTTTCTTATGCACATTCTCACTTCTCATTTCCGTCGAACCAATCCTGGAATTCTGTTCTACCTCCTCCGCCACCGCCGCATCTTCCTGGTCCGACATATTTAGCACCTAGACTTCACAATGGTGCTGTCCCGGTTCAATTTACACAGAATATGTCGCAGCCTCCGACGAATGATTACTATTCTCAGACTTCTGCCAGGCCTTACCTTCCTGGATTTCCGCATCCTTCTAACGTGGGACAGAATCAAGGAGGCCCTGGCAAAGCTGGGCCAGGTACGTATCCTTCAAGTTCTTATGGCCAGGAGCGTTTACTTTCTCAACCTATGCGCTTCTCAGAAGATTCAGGTTTGAACAGACAGTCGTTTCCAGGTGAAAATCGGCCTACTCCAGATGAAATTTCTCAACCTTTGCCGCAGCCTTCTTATGCTGTTGAACTTCCTGCGGCTAGTAGTGTTTCTGCGCTCCACGGTGAAAATATAAAGCAGAATTCTATCTTGCCTTCTGAATTTAAAGGGAATCAGTCATCCATGTTATCTAATCTCGGCGTTTCTAGAATTCCAGACCACTTCAATCCTTATGCATCCACTTTTGAGCAGCCGCTGAGCTTAAAACTAAGTTCAAATGTCTCAGTTCAGGAGGATCAGAAGCCATTTATTGGTAGTGCACCGGAAACTGCGTCGAGTGAAATCCCTGCTGATGGAAGAGCTGTTACAGGCCTTGGCTCATTTCAACCGGCAGAGGGGGCTTTACTCAATACTGGTGATGATTCATATGATCCACTCTTTGACAGCATGGAACCATCATCGAACTTGGTCAGGAATTCTCTCCATGGTAAAACATTAGAGATTACCGACGATTCCGATGGCATGCTTAGGTTCAGTGGGTCTAACAAGCCATTAGATGGGAGAGAAAAGAAGCAGAAAGTGGGTGGCCCTTCTGATGCTAGTGGATCGTTGGAAAATGATGAATTTGGGGAGACAGCAGATGCAGAAGTTGGTGCTGTTGAAAATGGAAGCCCAAGCAATCCCCTTGATCCTGCCGATGATGGTGTTGGAGAGATTGAGATTGATCAGGTTAAGAGCCCTGGAAAAAGCAAGAGAACTAAGGAATCCAGATCAATGAGATTGTTTAAAATTGCCATTGCTAATTTTGTGAAAGAAGTTCTAAAGCCTTCATGGCGGCAGGGTAACATGAGCAAGGAGGCATTTAAGACCATTGTTAAAAAGACTGTTGATAGAGTGTCTGGGGCCATGAAAAGCCATCAAATACCGAAATCTCAAGCAAAGATAAATCACTACATTGACTCATCACAGAGAAAATTGACAAAGCTTGTTATGGTAAGTCTCTAACGAACTTCAGTAGCCACCTTCTTTTTCCTGTTCTTTATTTCAGTCGCCTTTTAAATTAAAACGGAAGAGAATTATTTTTATACTCGAATCAGTTTGATCAAGAGAGTAGGTTGATAGATCCGCAAACACTATATTTTGCCTTTAATCTTCTAGCTCATATTATACTTCGTCTATCCCGAAATGATTGTCATGTTTTTCTACTATTTTTTTCTAGTTTATTTAGTACGAAAACAGGACAACCATTTGTGGATGGGGAGTATCACTTTATTGTTGGCTCTTCAGTCCAAGTTATGTGCGCAGTGTTCTTTATTCTTAATTCTCTAAAAGTAGTTAAAGTTTTGAGTCTTGTATGATTGGTACTTCCAAATAGTAGGTGCTTGTGGTTTGTCGCTAAAGTTGGAAAAACTGATACTTCTTTTGTTAAACTGATTGGCGTTATAAACATTCATTTCTAATCTAAATTTTTTGTGGGGTTCACATAATGATGACCGTTGTTTGTTTTGTGTATTCTGCAGGGCTATGTGGACAAGTATGTTAAGGTATAGATGCATTTGGGAGATGATGTTCATTTTTATTGCGGCAGAACATTTTTTGCATTGCTCAATAGACACATATATTGAACATGAATTGTGGCTATTCAAGTTAAGAAATGAGCTTCACTTTGGAAGATGTTCACAGTAAGCAGGTTGGAACGTGTCTCTGCTGCTGTTCAACTTCGGGGCATATTTGAGTGTACCTGATGATCCACTGCTGAGCTAAGAGTGTCTGCTTATTTTGAGCCTCGGATTAGTTTGGCCAGGTTTCATAGCCATAAGCTTCGGTTTGAATGCTTAAATCATCTGTACAAATCCTCCCCCGCAAGATTCTAACACTTCGGCTTTATCATGCCGAAATTTTGGTTTTACATAGAGAAATGCAGAAGATAAAAGCTCGTTTCTTATTATGTGCTGATGCCCTTTTACGTATTCATACATATGTTTCGGTGTATAAAACCTGGTGGATTATCGGGCGAAATGGTTGTTGCAAAGCTCGGCCGTTGTCAGCGTCTGCTTTTGAAGTCACTTGCATTCATCTGAACTTCCTATTCAGGCTTGGTGATGAAGAAGGTGAGGTTCAAATTTGTAACCCTAACTTGGCGCATTCTGTACAGGAGGATCAAGGGACACAACTTGGGTGATCTCTCGTACCTTTTTAGTATTTTTCTTTTTTTGTTGAGAATTTCTCATGTGTACAGTTGAGGGGCTTGAGGTGTTACTGGCCGATCGGATTTGAAGTTTTTGATCTCCAATTAGATGTCTAATGCTTGCCCTTCCCCATTGTTGATCTTCCTGTAGGGCTTTTGAGTTGTAAAGAGCTTTAGATATCGAAAAAGTTAATCCTTTTTTACTTGTTAATCCATTATTCATACTAGAAACTTAACAGTGACAAGCCTGATGATATTATGAAAGAAAACGGTAAAAATATACAGTGACATCAAGATGAAAAACCAATAGCCATAATCATATAACGATGAATGCTTTTTTTTTTTTTTATTGTATAAATTAAGTGACCTTCAAGTTGAAATACTCATTGACCTCTCAGTTTTCCAAGAAAATTATGATTTAATTCCTATCCGATTTCTAACCCCTACTGTTACTACTCCCCATGAAGCTTTTAATTCATACGAATTTCCAGAATGGCCATTGAGTTTCTCTACTTCCTTTCTGCCGTTTGATTTTTTCGGAAAGCCGCACAGAAAAGTGTAAGTTTTCATTAAATGTGAGGGAGAGTGAGTTTACAGGGGCAACTACATCATTAAATGGGCTATTAGTAATTGAAAAAAAAAAAGAGAGCTATTAGTAATTGATAGTAAAAACTTGATAAGATGAACAAGAGCAAGTAGACAAACTTGTACTCCTTCTTTGTGTCCTAATTATTTAGGTATTTGGTTGTTCCAAATATATATAGGTATTTGGCATTCTTGTGGCATTTGATATCTTTTAACTTTAAATTTAATCTTTAATTTAGTGGTACTATTGTTAATCAAAGTTTCCAAAGGGATTACATAAGTTTGGAGAATAGATTTTAATTGGAGGGTGATATGGATAAGTTGGTCACAAATAACTAACCAACTTTTTTTTTTAATTTTTTAATATAGGAATAGTTAATAATTTTATCGTTTCAAAATGATTTTTTAATTCTGTTACAAATTGAAAATATTTATCATTAAATTCACCCATCCTTTTTTATGATAACCAATATTGATGATAACCAAAGAATACTTTAGAAACGCTAGAATTAGCCAATATTGATGATAACCAATCTGGGGGAGACGGAGCAAAAGGTGTTCCTCAGGGTACAAGATTTGGCCATTTCATGAACAATTACATTAATGTAACATATCTTGAAAATTGAAAAACCCTGTCTTTTAAGTTTCCTTATATTACAATATAAGGTGAAAATCAGTACTTCCAAAAAAAATAATAAAACAAAAAAAAAAAGAAGTTGAAAATCAAAGAACCCTTGGTTTTGTCCCGAGTGTACTACTACTACTTTTTGCCCAGTTGCACCCAAAATACTCCCATCTGCTATCTCTATCAAAGGTATCATCCCCGGGGAGTGGTCTTTCAAAACAGGCAAATCCACATTGCCAAGGATTTTTGTCCAAATCCCACCAATTGAATCCACCAATTTTGTTTGGCTCTCCTGCTCCTCCTTCAATTTTCGCTCCCAGCAAGCTCCGGGATTCAGCTGTAGAAATTTCCGTGCTTCTCTCTTCTAATTTGACGTCCCTGATTTCTGTCTCTGTTATCTCCGATTTTCAGCTTCTGCTCTCAAATCGCACAAAAATTTTGAATGCTGATCATCTTGCTCATGGGTACGGACATTTTTTTTTTTTAAAAAAAATTTACTCAATTGCTTTTTGATTTGATGATATAGGTACCGTTCTTATTCATCAGTTACAGTAAATTTCTCAGTAAAACGAGTGATTGTAGCTGGTTTCGTGATTTTTTTAGATTTGTTCTGTTGTTTTTTAGTTTGCATAAAGTTTCAATCTTTAAACTGTGCACCCATGTTTTCCATTAGCTCGATCTGTGAATGTTTACATTTTGCCCTAATGGCATAATTTGTTGGGGTGGGGAAGGACGAGGGATTTCTGGGTGTGTTCCTATTATGTTTTTCACTGGTTTTTGGGTGTCTGCGTTAAATTTCTGATAGAAATCCTGTATCATGGTGTTGGAAACAGAAATTTCTGTTAGATGATTTTCATTGGCTTTTGTAAACGGATGAACACAAATTTTCTTGTGTGGCAATTTATTGAATAGCTTCCATGCCTGTATGTCATCCAGAATATTGGTTCTCTACGTGATGGTCTGTGAATGAGCATATAACAATGTAGAGATTGGCTAAGGTCAAGTCTATGGTAGGCAAATGTGGTAAGGTGGGCTGTACTTACAAAACAGTTTCTTCTGATGTATGGCCATTGTTTAGGGTAAAAATGGGTTTTCAAATTTGAATTTGTGTTGTGAGATGGTAGAGACTTTGTTTGTTGATGAGATTTGGAGCTAGATGATTGTGCCAAAAAAGTTAGTCGAATGCCTTCGAAAATGTAGTGAGGGAAGCAAAACCTGAAAGAAGAATCGGCTTATGGTCAGCTCATGTTGAATTTCAATTTGAGTTTTCGTGTTAACAACATAAGGTTTGTGGATAAAGAAAAATCTCCTTTCCAAAGTTCTAATTTAGGCTGCTCTCTCACCCTAAAATATTCAGGGTTTTTTTCTGTTTGGGGGAGTATGTGTGTGTAGTTTAATTGAGTGAAAGTGATAGGTTAGCTGTAATAGGAGTTACAAGAACTTGGGAGTCACTGGAAGTTTATTTTATTTGTGGAACTACATTTCTTTGGGGTTATTCTCTTTTCTTTTTCTCTTTTCTTTATTGGAGATCTCTCTCCCTTCTCTGCTCAATCGCATGTTTTTATAGCCTAGGTTGCAGAAATCAAGTATTGCTTAGGTATAATAATGCATTTAACAGAGATCTTTAACTTTTTATTTTTCTATAATAAATATTCTCCACAAACGTAGCTGTTTTCTCTAATTCAGAGCTTCTGGGTAGTGGTAATTTTGTCGGCAGAATGGTACATGGACACTATGAATTAAGAGAAAAAAGCAATGCTGACACGTGTTATCTTGCCTTAGTGAAACGTGAAATGTTTTGTGTGAGGTTAGGATAATCAATGTTTGAAATACTGTGTAAGTTTTTTGGTTCCCATTAATTGGATTTGGTGATTATGACCAACAAAAAACTATGTTCAAAGCATAACTAGTGTTATTACTTAAATTTGGGCAGGTTTTAAATGGTGATTTTAACTGTTGAAGACTTGAACGTTTGTTCATCAATGGGTCTTGGATAAGGAAGAATTTCTCAGCCAACCGTAGATGCTTGTTTGGAGTTCCGGAATCAATACAGTGAATTATGTACTTCCGAAAAATAGGAAAAGTCGAGTAACCAATTCTGATGCGTCGCCTTCTATTGCTCTCCTGGCTCTGGCTGTAAATCACACAGAGGCTATGAGGATCAGGAAGCGGTTTGAGGCAGAAAATGAGAAAGTGGAGGGTATTGCTGTTACTACTCCTGCAAGTGGAGTTATTAGCATAGAAAAGGATCCTTATGCTAAACAAGTAACTGAGCTCTCATGGAAGAGGAAGAAGAAAAGGAGGACTAAGGCAAGGAAAAATCATTTTGATGGCGTAAAGCATGATTATGAAATAGAAATTCTAATGCAGGATAAGATGTCCCGGCCATCACCAATAATGAAATCACCTTCTGGCAAACAAAAGAGGAAGACCAATGAGGGGAGCCATGAGGTGGCTGCGCAATCAGAGATGAAGAGTGATATTGCCACGGTTGCGTTATCTAGGGATGCAAATGATGTAATGAATATTTGTTCTTCTCCTCAATTAGATGGGAGCTGTTTCTTTATTGGTAATGGTATAGTAGATTTCAATTTGATGGCTAAACATAGTAAGGGTGATATGGTCACTAACTCATTGGATATGGGAACCCAAAGAATGAGCGAAGCAAGAGGTGTAATAACATATGCCCGACGGAAGAAAAATGTAGTTGATGTTGTTGATGGCTGTAAATGCATGATTGCAAACACTTGTTTTGATAAGGCTAAGCCTGCAGACAAGTTGGACGATATCGTTGGGCTGTCTCAGAGCGAAAATCCGAATGATATGCTGACAGAAAAGGCCGGTGAACATGGTGCATCAGTTCAAGACAAAACCTTTGATGTTGAATCTGGAAGAAGTTACCCGGAAGAGCGTGCGGATTGTCAATCAAGTCTCCTGCTTTCTGATTTGAACGCTTCAAGGAATGGTACCTCTGAGATTGATAGAGATGGTAATAATTTGTCAGAAAGATCTCAGGTTGATAAGGACATGCCTATTGTAGACGCCTTGGAAGAAATCGTTGGGCTGTCCAAGAGTGACAATCCAATTAATCTAGTGACTGAAAAGGTCGGTGAACATGAAATATTAGTTAACGATAAAGCCTCTGATGATGAATGCGGAAGAAATTCTCCAATAGAGCATAAGGATAGTCAATCGAGTATCCTGCTTTCTTATTCAAGAGTTTCGATGAATGACACCTCTGAGATTGAGAAAAATGGGTCTGCTTTGTCTCTTGAAAGAGCTCAGGTTGATAAAGATATGCCTATTGTAGATGCCTCGGAAGAAAATGTTGGGCTTTCTAACAGTGAAAATCCAATTAATTTAGTGACTGAAAAGGTGAGTAAACATGAAACATCAGTTAAAGATAAAGCCTTTGATGATGAGTGTAGGAAAAAGTTTCCGGAAGAGCATGTGGATAGTCAACCAAGCCTTCTGCTTTTTGATTCAAGAGATGATACCTCTCAAGTTGAGAAAGACGGGAATAATTTGTCTCTAGATAGATCTCTGTTGGCTACTTCCAGAAAAAAGCTTCTTGTCCTTGATTTAAATGGGCTGATAGCTGAGATTGTTCGGTATGTACCAGAACGACATACTACGCCTGATGTAGTGATATCAATGAAAGCAGGTGAAATATCATATTAAATGTTTTCTTTTCTGGCCAGTTTGCCACTCTCTTGGTTGTTGGTCAAATGTCTAACTTCTCTTATCTCTTTATTCAGTTTTTAAGAGACCATTTTATGAAGATTTTATGAAATTTTGCTTTGCTAGATTCACTGTTGGCATCTGGTCGTCAAGAATGAAGTACTTTCTGAACTTTATTAATTTTTATTTCCTTAATAGACATGTTCCTGTTAAAGTTGATTCTTAGTGCACATCTTTCATCTTTTTCCTCTTTCCTCTTTCTATTGTCACCAGGAACAATGTGGATTCCATTGTTGATTTCCTCTTAGGTGATTCTAAGCAGAATTTACTCTTTTGCTGGGTAAGCATCTCAATTC